TTCTTCTCACACTGCTAACTCCTCATCTATATCCTTAACTCAGGCTTTTCCTGACCTCCAGACTCTCATGTTCAACTGGACAGCCATGTCACAAGTCTCACCAGGATCTCTGACCTAGCCTGCCCCTCTTGGTCCTTCCACGGCCTTCCAAACCTGTCTCCCAGGGGTCTGTGTCTCCCTATGGTACTGTCATCTACCAGCATGTTAAGGAAAGGCAACATTTTTGGGGTCATGCTTGACTCAGCTCTTTCTGCCACAGCCCCCATCTAGTCCATCAGCAAGTCCTCAAAACAGATTCTGCTTCAGTATCTAGCTGCTTCTTGTTACTTCCACTGCTAGTTCTACAGTGCTGGCAACCCCTCTTCCCCTGAGCTAAAGCAGCTACATCCTCCCTGCTCTTCCTGCTTCTTCTCTTGCCCCCTTGGAGTCCATTCTCAACAGATCCCAGAATGCATCAAAAATGAATCTTGACATGTCACTCCTCTGCTCAAAACCTTCCCAGGACTGCACATCTTACCTACAGTTAAGCCCAAAAGCTTGCAATGGCTCTCTGGGGCCCTAGCTACCATTCTCCTGCCTTCCTTTCCAACTCCTCCAGCCTCTGCTCCATCTGCTCCTTTGCCCAGCCTTCTGTATGTAGTGTGCAGACCTCTGAAGCCAAACCCCCTCTGCCGGGAACACTGGAGCCCAATGTCTCCATCTCTCCCTTCCCCCTGCCCTCTGAGACCTGCCATAGACTCCTTCATTTCACCTTGTATCTCCTACTTTCCTTCTTACCCCTTCCAGAATGGTCCTCACCGCCTCATTTCACATTTATGATCTACCTTTTATTTTCTTTCTTCCCCACTAGAATTTAATCTCTGGAAGCACAGGAATTTCACCTGTATGGTTTATAGTCATGATCCCAGCACCTGGAATAGGTTGTTTCATGGGAGCCCAGGGTTGTGTTGGGTGAACTGGTCTTTGTTTGGCAGCTGTCAAATATCTCTGACTGTAAATGTAAGAAGGTGAGGCTCAAGAAATCCAACTAACTTGGCCAAGTTCTCAGGTGACCTGGGACCCGGCCAGGTTGGGCTGAATCTGAAGTTTTGAGACATCTGCACATCTTAACACTTCTCAGGCAGATTTGTTTCACTCTGATTACCCTTCCATGGAGCCAAGACTCAACACCACAATTCAAAGGGGTCCCTAATATTTTTTGGCATCCATATTTCAGTTTTTCAGGCAAGCAGTAACTGCTCTATTACACAAATATACCTCTGACCTCTGGGTTCACAGACTCGCTGAAGCACTGCACACCATCTCGACCGCAGTGGTAGGCTTCTGGATGAGGCACCAGTAGTTAGTTACTCCCCAGACCTAGAGACCTGTCATCTCTGAGTCTTCTTACATGTAAATGAAGAAGATAACTGAATTGAGCAATGTATGGCTTCTTGTATTTTCCATGGAAGGTAATCATTACAGAATGAAAAGGCATTTTTCCTTCATCTCTCAGGGGGTCAGCGTTTGTATGTACTGAAGACTCAGGCCTTCTGTTGCCCTCCAGATGGTCATGGGGTGGGAGGGAGCAGGTTGTAGCCTCCAGGGATTTAAAGCTTGGGAGAATGGGTTCTGTAGGAGGTGAAGACTGGTGCCCCCCTCAAATAGATGGGATGCTCCAGGCCTTGCCAGACACTGAGAGAGTAGATCCAAGCCCCCGTGATGGACCAGGGGCAAAACCAATGGAGTGAAGTTCATTTCATTCCCAATTTTCTGGACCCCACAAGCCCCAGATTTTGTAGAGTCCCAAGGGCAGGAAAAGCCTTCCACTCTGAGACCCTATGACAGACATGATATTTCCTTCCCAAAACAGCGAAAATTATGCCTCGAACAAGTGGATTTTTTAGACATCTATATCAATCTCCCGTGTTTATATGTGCACACATATATATATCGACAGCTTATCCACAACTATCCTGAGCATTAAATTACTACAAGGAGGAATTCACACTTTATACCTGGCAATACTGAGCAGCTTTCTCACATCTCTGTTTTATGGTAGAGCTCTGTCTTCCCTATGGGAAGACACCGTCAATGGTGGAGCCTGATGGTAACAACAGGAGCACAGCCTGTGTGGGAGAAAATAAGGCCATCTCCCAGTGGGCCATACTCATCACCCAGATTGGGTGGGGGACCATGTACGGCTCACCTGACACCAGCCAGGTCCCCACCAGAATCCAGGCACAGATAGGGCCTGAGGGATGATCTAGTCTACACCCCTGCTTGGCTGTTGAGGAAAGAAATCAAGAGAATTCATATGGATGATGGGCTGGGTCAGCTCTGTGCTGAGGAAATGAACACATTTATTCTTTATGCCTACAGTGTTTTTCAGTTCCTCATTTCCTTGTGCTAGGCAGAGCCCTGGTGTTCAGCTCTTGCTGCACCGGGGGCAAGCTCCTGAAGTGCAGGTCAGCCTGCCAGCCTCCCTAAGGCTTTCTGCAGCATGGATGGAGTGCTTTCCCAGCGTTGGGTGGGGATCCCTGTTGCCTATTCTCTCCATCCTCTTGGCATGTGACAGAAACAGTATTGGTGAATTTAGTGTCTTCACTTGGTAAGTTTGAATTAATTAAAAGGTGCTCCAAGACTGCATGGTTGAGTAAAATAGTTCCCTTTAAAAATACTAATCCAGAAGGTAAGATGTGATAAAAATTTTTTTTTTTAAATTTTATGTTACAGAAAAAGTAACAGAAAAGATACTATAAAGAAGTAGAGGATTTTGCTAAGCATGGTAGGGTCAAAGGAGGAGGTGATCATGGTGGCAGACAGGGACACTGCACTCTTTATCAGGACTCTACCTTCAAACGAAGCAGCTACCATTACTGGTGCTACTAGCCATTGTCAGGACCTAAGGTCATAAAGTGCCAGCCGGGTAGCATTCAAGAGAAATTAGCTCATGAAACTCTTTTCTTTCTTAACCTATACCAAATTCCCCCTTATGTATGGATAGTTAATCCTTTGTTTAAAATCTCTTATCTGAATTATTCACATAGAAGCATCTTTAAAAGAGCCAACTGCCATAGTGAGTGGTTTAGGATTACTGCTCATCCAGGCAAATTGTTTTATGATTGTTGATCAGTCAGGAACCCTGAGATAAGACAAAATAGGTCACTGTCAGTCTTTGGGTTGCATTGGATGCTTTGTAGCCGCTGAGGAAACAAGTTATCTGTAGTCACAACATCAGATCCAACAAGTTACTGGGAGTGCAGAACCTGTTCTCAAACCAAGCATCCATGGGTGAGGCTCCCCTGAGTCCTGTGTCTGAGACTGATCACCAGGCTGCCCAACACAAATAAGGTCCCACTAATGACCATCCCTTCCTTTGTCTATGTAAATTTTGTGCTTTCCTTCTTGGAGCAGGTGGATGAGGATGTTTCCTGGATTGTTCTACAAGAAATGAGATGAAGCCAAGTATACACAGAGGCTTGGATCTGGTGAAAATACCCAAGTGTCCACTTTCTGGATGTTTTCCATTTGCCCTGAAGATGTGTACTCCCTATACTCTGCACCCACAGGGCAACTTGCATGAACACCAGTAATGGGCTCTCTGCTCTCTGCCCTTCTACTGGTGAGAGGCACTGGTTAGAGCCTGAAAGGTGGAGGAAGAAGGTGGATGGAGTGTTTATTTTTCCAGATTTTTTTTATCCAAAAGCCACACCTTCTATAAGTAGTTTTTTTCTATCAGCTACTTTCATCATTTGCCCTTTTGCTACCAAGATTGGTAGGAAATGACTGGGCCATCTGCCAATGTCAAGATCATACCAGCTGTAGATCTTCTCTTCAGTCTTCTGCAACATTCCAAAGGCTTGAGCATTTTTATTTGTGTCTTGGCTAAGAGCTGAGATAAGCCCAATTCCCTGACAGAGCAGCACTAGCTGGGAAGGCCGGAACACTCCCTCTCTTTGTTATGCTCAGCCAGAGGATCCCCATCCTGCTCCCCTGGGATCTGCCACACAGGAGCACCTCCATGTGCCAGGCCTTTGGAAGTGGAGGTTCTGCTCTGCTGCAGTAGGGAATAGCTGGCTGACAATGGAATCAGAATCAGAAAGACTTGTTTTCCAGCCTGACTGAGTGAGGACACACTCCAAATGCACTGATAACCCACACTGGCAGGTGAGGCCCCATGGGAGATGCATGCTGTGCCTGAGAAGGGCATAGAGTCTTCTGCATGCATGTCTGAGAAGCCCCTGAACACGTCGTTTTGCAAAGATATATAATGAAAACGGTTATGAGTAAGGTAGCATATTTGCTCTGTCTTAGGAAGAACCTACATCTGCTTTAGACATTTGTTTTGAACTAATTATTTTGTTCTTAGGGATTCCAAAGAAGACAGGTCTGACTTGCTCCCCACATCTCCTCCTCATTGGGATGTCAAAGGAAACGCTAAGAAAAAAGGAGAGAGTGAAGTCAGGGTTGTGTTTCTCTAGCCTAGAGGCCAGGAATTCTGGGGGGCAGGAGATGACAGCCACAAAGCACATGCCATTTCATATTCAAGTAGCTTCACCGGGCTGTAACCTGTCTTCCCATCTTTGCAGGAAAACTGAGGCTCAGGGGGGTTACATAACTTGCTCATGTCCACAGGAAGTGATAGGGCCTCCTATTTTTCTCAAAGTTAATGGTCTTTCTTACTTTTTGTTTGACACCCACGGGAGGTTTGGATGGAGACAGGAGAAAAGTAAGGCAAAGCCACAGAGAGTTCTCTTTAGAGAGGACTGGCCTAGCCAGGTGGGATCTGAGAACAAAGGGAATAAACTCAAGAGGTCTCAACACCATGCTGTCATGGAACCCTACCAGCTGGTGCTAGGCTGCGGCAGAGCTTGTCTGCAGAGTAGGCGGGTTTGCTGCAAGCATCTAGAGTCTGAGTTGAACACACTTGAGTCAGACAACATGCCTCTCCCTTGCTCATTGACCTAAGTTAGGCCAGCCTTACTTGCTCCCTGAGCCTGCTGGGGCCAAGAACTCACCTGCTTGCTCCAAAGCCACCATGGTCGCCTGCTCGATCAAGTCCCGTTCAATGAAGCTCCTGAAGTCTTCGCTGTACACGCTCAGATCTGGCAACTGGAATGTGTAGATGGGCATTTCCAGGGGGAACTGCTCATTGTTGCACTCACTCGCCACGTGGGACCGGGCCAGAGAGACGATAGCAGAGCTGGCGTGGGAAATCCCCCGGGAAAGTCGCTTTTCTGCAGTGGGGGGAGGAAGGACAACCACAGGAACTGAGTGCGGTGGGTGTGTGGCTCTGTGAGCATGCATCCACACAAACGTGCATGCACAGATATGCTCACACACACACAGGCACACACACACATTCACCCGCACACCTGTCACTCTTCCTGCAGGCCTCCCTGCTGCTGAGCTAACATTACCACCACCTGGCATATGGCACTTACTCACTCTGAGTCATGAAACCATTCAGAAAGAGGCGAGCTGCAAGTCTACCATACAAGTACACATCAGCATCTTGAAAGATCACCAGTTTTGCTTTTTTTGGTCTTAAGTTACATCTGATTCAGTTCAGCAGAGCTGCCCTCTTCAGAGCTCTAAAGGCCACATGCCAGACTGCTCTTTGTTTTATACATTTACATACTTAAAGCAAGAGGCAATTGGTTCAGGCTTTCCCCACATGGCTTGAATCATAGGAGAGGTTACTTTACTAAAGTTACTTTGATAAACATATCCCATGTGACGATGCTCCAAATACAAAAATACGAAGCCATCCCATCTGCTTCTCTTCTGTCTCAGTTTGCCACTGTCACAAGCACTCAGAAGTGCTGGTCTACTCTGGTCTTCTTCTGCCTGGATTTTCCAGCCAAAGGGTGAAAAATGCAGTACAGAATTCCTCTGATGTATGTGATGCTCCCCTGTTAAGAAGTTAATCATCATGTGATCTCAATGCCTCAGCAAAAAAAAGTGGATGCCTTTGTTCTCTTAGTGCTGTAAAAGCATACTTGGTTTTTTAAAGTCCTGCTCTTAATAGCTAACATTCATGATAATACAAGAATTCTTAAAGGCATGGTGTTAGGGGGAAGTTTTCTTTTTACAATCAGTATTTGTAATAATGGAAAATTCTTCTAGCAAGGCAGAAGTCTTCTTTTAATTTGTTCAGGAAAATAAAATTCAAACCAGTGTTTGAATAGGTGTTGTGTAAACCCTGTGGCAAATTCCTAAGTGTATCCATTCAGGTCATGAGGACTCCCACTTCATTTCAGATTAGCCTGCTCACTCATTAGGCTCTGCGCTCATGCTGATGCTGCTCTGAAGCATGCCTCTGCCCACCTGTGTTCACAAAAATCCCACACTCATGCCTTCATCCAGAACAGGAGCTTCTTACTTCCCCAGGTGCAAGAGCAATGGACAGAAATGACGTTCAAGTAATTTTGCTACAGGAGACTAAAAACAAGAGGATTTTGATCCTGGGGTAAGCTGGTTTTAAATTTAAAGTCCATTCTGAGAAGCCTCAAGTACCTGTGCATTAACAAGAATGGTGAGTCTCACAGAGTATTTTTTTTAAATTTTTTTTATAAATTTATTTTTTATTGGTGTTCAATTTGCCAACATATAGAATAACACCCAGTGCTCATCCCATCAAGTGCCCCCCTCAGTGCCCATCATCCAGTCACCCCTACCCCCCACCCACCTCCCTTTCTACCATCCTTAGTTCATTTCCCAGAGTTAGGAGTCTCTCATGTTCTGTCTCCGTTTCTGATATTTCCCACTCATTTTTTATCACAGAGTATTTTTAAATGAGTAGTTTTGATTCATCTTCAGTTGGATTCCAAGACCATGATGACTAGTTATTTTGTATTTTGAGGAAAGGCAAAGAGAAGTTAAACCATACTGGTCATGAGAAAGGAGAAATGAAGCGCATAGGTCCTGGCTTGTCTACCATTGGGGATAGCTCCATTGCTTTCTGCATGTGGTCCATGTTCTTGAGAGCAGGGGCAAAGGAGACTCCAAGTCCTTCTGCCATGTTCTCCAGGTCTCACAAGCCCTGCTGATGCCTCACGTCTTGCTACAGACTACTGTTTCTGTATCTGAGAAAGTAGAACTGCCCCATCCTTTGGGATCTGATGGAGATGGACATCAGGTGTTCTTTAACACCCGAGGTGCTATGTGATCCCATGGTCCACTGGGCAGACTCACAATGCTGTTCTCAACAGTTGGAAACTCCTGGGCAGGGTTATCTGTACTCCTTCAAGGCTTATCACTTAGTACCTATTTGCCAGTTGATGAGATTTTATTAGGACCTTATCTTTTGTCAAATGATAACTGTGAGTAAATAAAGAAGTTAATGGTTGTCTACACAGGCAACAAAATGAACCTAAATGTGATTGAGGACAAGCAGCAGTAGAAAGGGAGAAGACGATACTAAGGAACATGTCTTCTTCAGGGTAAAATGTAGTTGTTAATAAATTTTAAAAAATGATAGGAAGAAAACATAAATACAGGTTTTCATAGATTAGGGGTAACTATAACATGAAGAGAGGTAGAAAGTATAACTTTCAAAGCAAAATAAAAGTTTAACTAGCCAGAGAAGATAGGAAAGGTGGGGCACCTAGATGGCTCAGTTGTTTAGGTGTCCAACTCTTGATTTCAGCTCAGGTTATGATCTTAGGGTCATGGGATCAAGCCTCATGTCAGGCTTCAAGCTCACTGGAGAGTCAGCTTGTCTCTCTCCCTCTGCTCTTCCCCCCACTCACACGTGCTTTTTCTCTCAAGTAAATAAATAAATCAATAAAATCTTAAAAAAGAAGAAGATAGGAAAGTAGAAATATACACCAAAAAAGCATGGCAAGTAACACGTAAAGTAACATAAAGAACTACAGATATAACAATAATAACATTCAAGTAAATGGATTAAATTCACTGCTCAAGTGACAGAGACTCTTGGATTAGATAATAAAATAATGTCTGATGACAAATTACATATAAGAATCACATTTAATAAAAAAGCATAAGGGAAGTTTAAAAATAACAGGAGACAAAATTATATTCCAGGCAAATCTGAAACAGCAGAAAGGCAGGATAGGGCTTTAATATTAAGTAAAACAGACATAAAGATAAAAGTCATTATAGGGGACAAAGAACCATTCTATATATCAGTAATAACACTGGAACAAGTGCCCTGACAATTATGAGTTACATATATACCTAACAAGATGGCCTCAAAACAAGAGAAGAAACAAACAATGTGCATTAATGTTTCTAACTCCATTCTGGCTCTTCTAGACAACACAGTAAGGATAAAAGAATAATCCAAGATATAGGTTCCGGTGTGGTTGAATAATAAGACTGAGCTAACAAAAACAAAGACGACTTTCATATACAATAGTTTAGAGGGTTGACCTAATGCAATAGGATGGGAAATGAAATTCCTTGTATAAATAGTAAGAAGAATTTAAATTATTTCAGATGTTATGATTATATATACTTAGAAAACCCAAAATATTCTCTTAAAAAGGATTAGTATTATCAAAGTATTTATATAAATTACTACATAAAACATAAATATGTAAAAAGTAAGTCGTTTTTCTCTATGTCTAAAGCCTTAGAATCTGACTACATGGAAAGGCATATTTAATGTTCTTGGGTGGGAGAACAATGTTGAAATAAGCCAATGATTCTCAAAATAAAAACTTAATCCAATTCCAATCAGAATTCCAAGCTTAAGGTTTATGTGGCAGAATAAAATGCCTAAAAATAGTGAAAGGATTTTGGAAAAGAATAGCAGTGAAAGGAGTTGCCTTAACAGGAAGTGTCCTATACGAAGCTACTAGTTAGGGTAACAGGATGGGTGACCACACAGATTGACATATACAGTCCAGAAACAGATCCAAATATACTTGAGAATTTAATATATGGCAAATTTGGTGTTTTAGAATGCTTTATTCAATAAATGTGCTAGAGTAACTCACTCTCAATCCAGAAGAAAGCAAGACTAGATTCCCCCCTATCACAAAATCTCAAATCAATCAGAAGACCTAAGAACAAAATTCTAGGCAAGTAACACGTATGTAACATACTTGCCACTGAAATATAGGAACATATTTCAGTGACTTTGTATTCCAAGATATCTTCTAAAGTGAGGAAGGACACTTGTCAGCTGTGAATGCATAGACATTTCGTATGGCATTATACTCTGTAAACAAAGTCGTAAAGCAAATGATACATCAGGAAAGACATACACACATATAAAAATATGTGTTCATCGTCTTAATCATGAAGAATGCTACACATTGATCAGAAAACTGAAGACAAATCAATCAATAGAGAAGTGGGTAAAATATGGGAACAGGCATGTTGCAGCAGGGGAAATCCAACTGGCTAACAAACAAATGAGAAGATGAAAGCTGAAATAAGACACCCCTCTTCACCCTTCATAGTAGAAAAGCAATGTAAAGCCATCCCAGAAACGTCCAGTGATGGCAAAAGTGAAGGGAGACATCTCGTTTCACACATGGCAAGCAGAAATGGATTTGGGAAAAGAGTCCTGGAATTATTGAATTAAAGATACACAGGTATTGGCACAGCAAATCCACTTTGGGAATGTTAACCTATAGAGATAAAAGCACTATTATGTGAGATCACAGGTATAACTTTTTAGCTAGTAGTATCAAAAACAAACAAAACAGACCCCCCCAACCCAGAATAACCATTAATAGTAAAAATTATTGTAGGCTCTGGAGTAAAATATTGAGACTCTACTCATAATTTAATGTTCAGTGAAACAAGTGTTTGAGAAGCGTTATGTGCATTCGGCTCTGACACATTTTGAAGGAGCATAGAGAAAGCCGGCAGGAGACAGACCAGGATGTAATCATTGGTTATTACATCAGTGAGATTTGAGATAAGTGGAGAAGAAAACTGATATTTTCTTTATATATCTTTGTACTGTTTCTTTTATCACAATAAACACACCTGACTTCTGTAATTAAGGATAGACAAAATGGAGCCAGTGGGACAACGAACACTGATGATGAATAGATCTGGAGACTGTGTTATGTAGGAAATAACAGAAGAGACTAGTGGTGTTTGGCTTGGAGAGACCAGGACTCCACGAGAAGTGCTGGTCTTTAACCACGTGGGGTCCTTGGGAACTAGACTCCTCTCACTTTTCTGAGGCAGAGAGAGGAGCCAGAAATGGAAACTGCAATGCACATTTCAGCTTGATGCAGGGAGAGCTTGATTTGCCTGCAGCTGAGAGGTGATGACCCTGCTCTTCTTTGCACCCTCCACCCCTCACTCCTGCTACCCCATGTAAGCCATGGCACCCTGGGGAAGCTGCTTCTGGGCTCAGCCCCTCACCAGGTACCTTGGGCAATGTCGTCTTGTCTCTGCAGGCAGGGCCGCTCCACCTTGTGTCCGGGTTGGGGTGGCTCTCGCTCTGGCTGCTTGGAGCACCTGCCCTCATTGAACACATGTGGCAGGTTGGCTGTGTGCACTTGTCGGAGCTGCTCATAGTCACTCAGAGCGGCTGTCAGGTCCCAGTTTTTGCCTATGGGCAAGAAATGACAAGAAATTACAAAATTAATGATCTCATTGTAGGAAAAAACTCTGCAGGGAGGGTTCCTCATCAGCACATTGACTAATGAACCTTCCACCAGTACTGCTGAAATTTTTCAAAGGGGTAAAATGGCCAGACGTGTAATCTCTAAAAGTAGAAGTTCACACCTGTGACTGATGCCCACCTGAAATACGTGACTGTATTTACTCTCACCACCTTTAGATTCACATACACACATTTCAAAACATGACACTCTTAATTATCATGCCTTCCTTCACCTTTTTGAAAAATCAAGTTGTAGAGCTTACTCTCTGAGAGAAGCAAAACATAAGCTAAAAGAAAATCAATAAAAAGAATTACCAAATATTCTTTAGGCTTTTGCTTACAGGTTTACTTCTCTTTTTAAGCTTAATATGGGAAAAACAGAAGCTTAGGAGACATTCCCTGTGTAAAAGCCTTACTAGGAAGCAGACTTCAGAGCTCTGACCCTGAATTGGGTGAGATGCTAGTCAGGATTGGGGTCCTGGCCTGGGATAGCTCTCAGCGGGGCCACTGGGAACTGAGATCCCTGTGGGGTGCTAAAGGGGACTCTTTGCAACACTAGGGGAAGCTGTTGTAGGGGCTGGAACTCTGGGGTTCTAATTCTGGGTCTGGGTAAATGGACTTCTAATAGAGGCACGGAGGCATTGGACACTGCATCTGATTCATCAGGCATCATGAGATTTTTAAAGACAAAGAATTAAAAGGCAAGATTTCATTATAAAGAGCGAATAAAATCTTATCCTCTCCTGGTTAACTTTGAAGTGCAGGTATCAACCATATTGACCTAATTATATGCTGAATTATGTTGTATCTACAATATAATGAATGAGGCTTCAAATGTATAAAATAATATTGGGGTGTCTTTTTTTCCCTTCCACTTCTAGTGCAGACTTGATACTATCAATTGTCACAGTTAAATTATATTGTACAGGCATTGGCAATTTAATCACATATTTCTTTTTTCTCCATAGTTAACTAACAAAGACACAATAGCTGCATATTTGCACCATCTCAGTGTTTAAGAGGAGCAAAATAACCTGTCTGGATCACACAACAGAAAACATAGCAGGAGCTGATGTTTTTGTAAATAATAAATATGGGGTATTGGTGTAATGCAGTCTGATTATCGTTAGTAGTAGAGGTAGAGGTCATGGCCATGGGGCTGGGGTGGTGGCAATGACAGGGCTGGTTTTGGGAAAGGAAACTGAAGCAGAAATATCAGAACACACTTGTTCTTACATGGGACTAATAATCACAGTGTACAAATACTACCTGTATGATCAAAACATCATTATATCCAAGAAGAGAAAGATGAGATCCTGCCTTTAAGGAAATTATGTCTTAGCAGGGGTGATAACTTGAGTGGGCACCCAGGCATCTCTGAGGGGGGCAAATGCCCAAGGGAGGGTCAAACCTTGACCAAGCACGTCAAGGAGAGGGGAGTTCCAGTTCCTCTCACAAAATGCAGACATATCACTATGGATGTGTCTATTAGCAGTAACATCAGCAGGATGAATTCTGATTGTGAAGAGGGATGAGAGGGCAGAGAAGCAGCTCAAATGGGGAACCTGAGGAGCTCCAGGTACAGCCAGAGGTATTCTCATCTCCAGGACCCAGTAGGGGACAGGGACTATTCTGGCACAACACAAAGAGAAAATGATGCACAGACTGATTACAGCATTTACTGGCAACCCCTCACTTTGCTACATTACAGTGTTTGCACGTGGACCCTCCAATCTGGTTTCTTCTACTGAGTTGCATCTCCTCTGTAGGGCTGCCTGCACGCAAAAACTAGTCCTGGCAGAGCTATGGACCCTAATCCTGTTGGGGGGCACTGTAATGGGGAGCCAACACACTCTTGCCTCACTGTGCTTCTACCCAGTGCAAAGAGTCTCTCCTTTTTTTTGTATATATATATATATATAAATGTATATATATATATATATATATTTATTGGAGTTCGATTTGCCAACATAAGGCATAACACCCAGTGCTCAACCCGTCAAGTGCCCCCCTCAATGCCCATCACCCAGTCATCCCAACACCCTGCCAACCTCCCTTTCCACTACCTCTTGTTCATTTCCCAGAGTTAGGTGTCTCTCATGTTCTGTCACCCTCACTGATATTTCCAACTCATTTTTCTCCTTTCCCCTTTATTCCCTTTCACTATTTTTTATGTTCCCCAAATGAATGAGACCATATAATGTTTGTCCTTCTCCGATTGACTTACTTCACTCAGCATAATACCCTCCAGGTCCCTCCACGTTGAAGCAAATGGTGGGTATTTGTCGTTTTTAAAGGCTGAGGAATATTCCATTGTATACATAGACCACATCTTCTTTATCCATTCATCTTTCGATGGACACCGAGGCTCCTTCCACAATTTGGCTATTGTGGACATTGCTGCTATAAACATTGGGGGTGGGATCCCTGGGTGGCGCAGCGGTTTGGCGCCTGCCTTTGGCCCAGGGCGCGATCCTGGAGACCCGGGATCGAATCCCACATCGGGCTCCCGGTGCATGGAGCCTGTGTGCACATCCCTCTGCCTGTGTCTCTGCCTCTCTCTCTCTCTCTCTCTGTGACTATCCTAAGTAAATAAAAATTAAAAAAAAATTTAAACATTGGGGGTGCAGGTGTCTCAGCGTTTCACTGCATCTGTATCTTTGGGGTAAATCTCCAGCAGTGCAATTCCCAGCACCATTTATTGAAGAGACTGTCTTTTTTCCAGTGGATACTCTTTCCTGCTTTGTAGAATATTAGTTGACCATGGAGTTGAGGGCCCATTTCTGGGTTCTCTATTTTGTTCCATTGATCTATGTGTCTGTCTTTTGCCAGTACCACACTGTCTTGATGACCACAGCTTTGTAGTGCAACCTGAAATTCGGCATTGTTAAGCCCCTGGCTTCAGTTTTCTTTATCAATATTCCCCTGGCTATTCGGGGTCTTTTCTGATTCCACACAAATCTTAAGATGATTTGTCCCAACTCTCTGAAGAAAGTCCATGGTACTTTGATAGGGATTGCATTAAATGTGTCAATTGCCCTGGTAGCATTGACATTTTCACAATGTTAATTCTTCCAATCCATCAGCATGGGATATTTTTCCATCTCTTTGTGTCTTCCTCAATTTCTTTCAGAAGTGTTCTGTAGTTTTTAGGGTATAGATCCTTTACCTCTTTGGTTAGGTTTATTCCCAGGTATCTTATGCTTTTGGGCGTAATTGTAAATGGGACTGACTCCTTAATTTCTCTTTCTTCAGTTTCATTGTTTGTGTATAGAAATGCCACTAATTTCTGGGCATTGATTTTGTATCCTGTCACATTGCTGAATTGCTGTATGAGTTCTAGGAATCTTGGGGTGGAGTCTTTTGGATTTTGTATATACAGTATCATGTCATCCGTGAAGAGGGAGAGTTTGACCTCTTCTTTGCCATTTGATTGCCTTTTATTTCTTTTTTTTTTTATTTATGACAGTCAGAGAGAGAGAGAGAGAGAGAGAGACAGAGAGAGAGAGAGAGAGAGAGAGAGAGAGAGGCAGAGACACAAGCAGGCTCCATGCACCGGGAGCCCGATGTGGGATTCGATCCCGGGTCTCCAGGATCGCGCCCTGGGCCAAAGGCAGGCGCCAAACCGCTGCGCCACCCAGGGATCCCTCTTTTATTTCTTTTTGCTGTCTGATTGCTGAGGCTAGGGCTTCTAGGACTATGTTGAATAGCAGTGGTGAGAGTGGACATCCCTGTCTGGTTCCTGATCTTAGGGGAAAGGCTCCCAGTGCTTCCCCACTGAGAATGATATTTGCTTTGGGCTTTCGTAGATGGCTTTTAAGATGTTGAGGAATGTTCCCTCTATCCCTACGCTCTGAAGAGTTTTGATCAGGAATGGATGCTGTATTTTGTCAAATGCTTTCTCTGCATCTAATGAGAGGATCATATGGTTCTTGGTTTTTCTCTTGCTGATATGATGAATCACATTGATTGTTTTACGAGTGTTGAACCAGCCTTGTGTCCCGGGGATAAATCCTACTTGGTCATGGTGAATAATTTTCTTAATGTATTGTTGGATCCTATTGGCTAGTATCTTGTTGAGAATTTTTGCATCCATGTTCATCAGGGATCTTGGTCTGTAATTCTCCTTTTTGATGGGGTCTTTGTCTGGTTTTGGAATTGAGGTGATGCTGGCCTCATAGAACGAATTTGGAAGTACTCCATCTCTTTCTATCTTTCCAAACAGCTTTAGTAGAATAGGTATTGTTTCTTCTTTAAATGTCTGATAGAATTCCCCTGGGAAGCCATCTGGCCCCGGACTCTTGTGTCTTGGGAGGTTTTGGTGACTGCTTCGATTTTCTCCCTGGTTATTGGCCTGTTCAGATAATCTAGTTCTTCCTGTTCCAGTTTTGGTAGTTTGTAGTTTTCCAAAAATGCGTCCTTTTCTTCTAGATTGCCTAATTTATTGACTTATAGCTGCTCATAATATGTTTTTAAAATTGGGGATCCCTGGGTGGCGCAGCGGCTTAGCGACTGCCTTTGGCCCAGGGCGTGATCCTGGAGACCCGGGATCGAATCCCACGTCGAGCTCCCGGTGCATGGAGCCTGCTTCTCCCTCTGCCTATGTCTCTGCCTCTCTCTCTCTCTCTGTGACTATCATAAATAAATAAAAATTAAAAAAATTGCTTGTATTTCATTGGTATTGGTGGTGACCTATCCTTCTTCATTCGGGATTTTATTTATTTATTATTTTTTTAATTTTATAAATTAATTTTTATTGGTGTTCAATTTACCAACATACAGAATAACACCCAGTGCTCATCCCGTCAAGTGTACCCCTCAGTGCCCGTCACCCATTCACCCCCACCCCCCGCCCTCCTCCCCCTCCACCACCCCTAGTTCATTTCCCAGAGTTAGAAGTCTTTATGTTCTGTCTCCCTTTCTGATATTTCTCACACATTTCTTCT